GGGAATTTCTCAGCTCATGCTGCCAATGAATTAAAGAGGTACAAATCACCATGACAACACAACCGTCATTATTGTAAGTAGTCGAGCTTCGTGTAAACCCCTCATCGATACATTTTTGGCAAGTGTTTTGAGATTCAGAGCCACCAAGAAACGATTGAAAGAAAGGTTGAGAATGGGAATAACCTCACGAGTTAGGAATTTATGACGAAAAAATCCTCCTCCCTACCAAAATCGCCTGATACATTCGTTAAACTTTGACTCCGAGCCCCCTAGTTGGATTCGAATTGACTTCGAGAAATGATTCAATTATGGCCACCACTAGAGACTGGATCTCAAAGATGGAAAAGGCGACGACAGAGAGCTAAAATTTGCTCATTCAATCGCTACGATCAAGGGTCCAATACAACAAACGGCGCTTATGGGCAACTGAATCCTTCGGCAGGCATCCATTCACTTGCCTTGAAGGATGAGTAGAACCGGGCGAAAGAGGCCATCTCAACTGCAAAGTCGCGATCAGAGAAGGTGGGCGGTCGAGACGGCCCCGTCACAGAGTAGATACAGTGGGCCGCAGCACCAATGAGGATTTCCACCTCTGTCAGTGCGGCCTTCACCTCAGCCACCTTAGCCCACGCGTCCGGAGCCAAATACTGCAAGTGACCGGGGATTTCAGGAGCTGGAAAAAGGGCGTCTCGCAAGGACAAACCATACTCCAATTCGCGCACACGATCCCGCATATCCGAGGGCAGTACTTGAGGAAAAAAAATGAAGATTAGATCCAAGTAGACTTAACTGGGAGGAGCGATTTGACAATAGAGGTCAGACGGCATGCACAGACAGATGAGTCGACAGACGAGTAAAGTGCATGCTAAAGGATACCAGCGCTATTCCGGTCAAACCTGGCGAGGGAAAGAAATGTAACACGGTAGAATAGACGGTTATTCTGACTCCGATCGCTTATATCCAACGACTAAGCGGCCTGATGCATGGAAATTGGACATGCTCAGTAGAACCGCTAACACAAATGCTCAGTAGACCAGTGAAAATGAACTTATCGGCAAAACAAAGTATGTATGTTTGAGAAGGTGAATTATTTATGATCAGGAGCATTCTATTTGACAGTCCTCGTTGCCAATGAGACTAGCAAAAAAGAAAATGGAAGTGAATACCGGCGTGTAAGCAAGCCTAGATAGCAATGCCAGAAAAAGTAAATGTGAAACGAATTTGGTTTCCAGACACACAGCACGAAATGAAGCTTATTTCGCCAACCGATTAATTGCCACCTGCAAACAGCATTTGAAGAGCGCGAGAGCCCACGCGAAAGAGACGTAAAATGCAGAAATAGCGGCACGCAGGCGGCGAGACCCATTTCTCTGCAGAAGGATGACCCAAGTCTAAAAGTGGTACTCCGACTAATCTCCGCAAGAACAAATCACCACAAGTGGAGCAAAAAAGTGGGGTTCGCTCGACCCGGGAGACCAAATGGGGGCTGACTCGGAGCATACAAATGGCCCACTGTAGTACTATTTGATAACGATCATGACGATTCGATTCAAAATCATCAATGCGATTGTCAGTCTAACTTAAATGCAACACAAAAACTGCATTCGAGGAAAGCCTTGCTGGCGAAATGGCTTGTAAGAGGAGGTAGGATGGTAAAAGGCTGCATATTTTTAAAGCAGTGTGAAAATGATCCCTCAGAGAACACATATCGGAGGTGCCAAAGTTTTCGCAATGGATACGCAACTTCGGCCCTCCGGTGCCCTGTTTTGATGTGCATGTCAATTCAGTAAAAATAAGGGCATTCATCAGGCGGAAATCCAATCAATCTCTCACGAAACAGTCGGGTCTGCATTCTGAACATTAGAAAGCGCCTCTATTAAATACGGTAAGCAAAAGAAATTCCGCATTTTAGCTCACTCGAATAGCTTTCAATCACGATGTTTAAACATGATAAATGACAGTCCTGAAGGTGCTGTTGCAGATGGGTAAACAGATCAAATGGAACTGTTGCGATAGGATAGAAGAAAAGCGCAGTTATAGGTGTAAATTTTGAGGCCTCAAATAAACAGCCCTTGAGAAGTGATCGAACAGGAACAAAAAAATGAAATGTGTAAAAATGTTGCCATGAGGCATCAAAGTGCCACTTTAATCGCACAACTACACACAAAGAAGTGGGTCGAAAAACTACGCTCAATTGAGAAAGCCCAGTTACAAAAGAAAGAGGAATACTGAGGCAACGACAGAATCAGCGGGTGGGACAATAAAGCCACAGCAACGGGAGTAAAGCACACCCTCATTAACAAAATTGGTGATTGGAAGTTACCGGAAGAAGCAGGCAGATAGGAGAGTGGGAGCCATAGCCAACGCGGACAGCGAAGCGAGTCGTAGGATGGGAAAGCGAGAAAGGCAGAGTAATCTACAATGTTTACCGGCTCATACCCCACTCAGTAGTCGATAAAAAGGCTTTTAGGAGAATTAAGAGCTCAGGGAAAAGGACAGACGCTGTGTACCGCGATTGTAATGAATCACGCAAGTGACTAACCATAACAGCCAAGGCGACGCAATTAGGAGGCATCTCAACTGCAGGGCAGTGGTAATCCACTACTTCTTGGCAGGCAAGGCTGACGCCCATTTGATTTTGGGCAAGGGCACAAGTCGTCAAGTGGTGTCATTGCTGTTCACCACATACAAAAGCGACATGGTGCAGTGAGAGGGATTACAAAACGTAGCTCA